ATCGCTATTTTTCTATATGAATTGTTTATTAAGTGGGCGGCATTTGGAGTTGAGGGGCGGAGCTTCTTCTTAACTTCTTCTTCGAAGTTAGTAAGGATCCAACCGTTTCTCTCAAGCGATTGAATTGTACGTGCGACCTATAGCCTTGAATATGAGACTGTTATATTGCCTTCATACAAGGATAAAACCATGCAGGCGATCGAGGTTCAGAACAAATTTCCTAGGAAAGTTTTTATGAGAGCACTTACAATAGCATCTCTCGTGCTATTGTATGAATCAAAATGGTAGGTTAGGCTCACTCAGTGCTTAAAATTCTTGTGGGTATAATCTTATCCGATGCTACTAGGTTGTTTTCACTCGAACCCTCAAAAACTAGAGGCAATTTGAACAAATTATGCTTTGCTCCGGTCAAGACTTCACTTGGCAAACATTTCTTTACGCATATGTATAGCGGGCTCAGAGTATGCTATGTTCCCAAAAACACTGGTTGCTCAGTCAATCTCTCCAAGCTGAGACGGGATAGTTCTCAGTTCCTCAGGAATCGTTTGTTCGCTTTGATGTTCCTTTCCCATGTCCCTTAAGGGCATTAACAAAATTTCAGTTTAATTATTCGTTACAAACTGGGTGATTAGAATTCTGAAAAGAAAATCTGGCTGAAGAACATAATCCTGAGAGATTGACAATCAGGGCAGCTGGGTAATAACTAGTTTGTGTACAGTAACCCTTCATTATTCATAGATCATATCACCGTTTATTAATTGTTGACATTGCATTACTAATTGCCACTGTTGACTAAACATTATAATCACCTCAAACGGTTACTTCACCCCACAATTTTCTTTTGTTTGTAAACGATCCTATCGTTTTTGGTGAGAGGGGGTGTAATAAGTGGACATGTACATGTCATGTACGTATGAGCCAAAAATGGCTGTGTTACGATGGCCCTGCTGAGGCTGCACCATTCACAATGAAGCACTAGGACGCTGGCAAATAGTTCGCTCATGCGAGAGACACCCAGACGATTACGTTGAAGCCTAATACTTCCTGAATTTCTTAAAACCCGCTGATTTTCAAAGTTTCCTTCATTTTTGCACTATTATGTACCTAAATTCTACTAATTCGCTTGAGGTAGATATCTCACAACTATGACTAACCGTGCCTATAAGCCCGATAAAACGTAAGGCATTTGAAATTGTGGTGGTAAAATTTACCAGCGGTACTGGAGCAATTAGCAGAAGGCGAGGCTCTGGTTTTTTGTTTCCGACTTTCGGTAGATATCCTCATAGGACCTTAGAAGTTCGAGTTCCATACTCTGTTTTTTATCGTTTCTCAAGACCCTATGCCAACCTGACATCATGGGAGGTCTTCATCGACTTGTATACTGTATCTGCTTCTCACCAACTCGTCAAATAAAATTCTTTATGTAAATATTATATCCCGTTTTGAAGCGATGTGTACGTAAATGAGATCACTTGTTCGAGGATCACACAGCAATCAGAAAAGAAAGCCTGAGATTGAGAATGAGAAGGACGACGTCTACTAAGAGAACGGTGGCGTTCGAGGTCTAACAGCGTCATGCACCGTCAGCAGATCTTTTTCCGGTAATGGAAGACTTTTATTTGTCTGATTGGACGTTGTAGTAGGACTTCGTGGTCTGGAATTATGATATAAGAAAGACTTCAAAGGAATCACAAAAAGGAGCTCACCTTGATGGAACCGCTATAGAAATTTCCGAGTACCCGGTAGGACTCCTTGATCGATAAAGGGATGATGCTTGGGATGAAGTGGTTGGACTTCGTGGACTGAAGAAAAGTATAAGAGTTTGAGCGATAGAAATTTCCCAGTAACTAACCGTATAGGACCAAATTTGGGTCGACTTGTCTGTGATGCGTCCGTCGGACTGCGTGGTCTTGCCATGTCCCGAGATATTACGGTCCCATTGCGATTCCTAAAAGATGTCATACAGATTCCTTATAAGCATGTTCCATACAGCGTCTCCTCACAAGTAAGTTTTCGACTTCCAGGGGGAGTTTGAAGGAAACCTCGAAGCTGGAGCATCTTGACTCACTGTTTTCTGCGGGACACAGACAGACTTATGTCTATGTCTACCTATTGAAATTGAGGTGCTATACTATCAACATAACGGAAAATACAAAAAAATTTCAAGTTTTTTCTCCAGGAAGCGTACCTTATACCATTCTTTATGGTCGCAGGTTCCTCTCAGAGAGTAACCTTTGAAATCATACTCACCGTGAATTACTCCTTTAAACTGCATACTCCACTTTGGACCAAATAATGAACATCTATGCCCGTAGCGATGAGGAAGCTTTTTTGGAAATTCCCGTGAACACAGACGGATTAATCACTTGCGAACTTCCACCAAATTTACTGTGGAATCATTAGAAGCCACTTCACGCTCTCACAGACCCTTCTTTCGCAAATTTTTAGTTGTTATTAACGGGTAGAGTCCAAAGAATTGATGTTTAGTGGGGGCTCACCATCTCAACTTAGATGGTAAAGCTCTCCATAGCTGAAAGACAGT